ACTTAAAAGTTCATTTCAGTGGATATTCGTATTTGAGATAGACGCTCTGTTTATTTAATAAACGGTATATTTATTTATTTTAGTCTACCGGCCTGCTGGAGAGTTTATTTTACTCGAATATTCAGGCCGGTAGAAAATAAATAAACGTACTGTTATACGGAGCCTATACTCAAATACGTGTATCCACTACAAAACAACGTTCAATATATATATATATATATATATATATATATATATATATATATATATATATATATTTGATATATATATATATATATACGTATTTGAAATTTTTATTTTATTAAAGCGTCTGTATTATTTCTATCGACCTGTATATTTGAGAAATCAAAATTGAGTTTCTTTCAAAGCGGGACACAGGTTCCATCTCTGCCGAGGAACACATGATTCTTTACGAACATTAAATAATTATTATAAATAATCATTTATTTGTTTAATACGCGTATCCACTAAAAACAACGTTTAAGATATATATATATATATATATATTATTCCGTGTTGATTCCTATGACCTTACTGTCTACATCTACAAACACCCAATCGCACAGAGGCTTCACTCTTCCCCATTAAATACAAGAAATTTCAAACAATATATATGTATGTGTATGTGTGTGTGCCCGCAAGTGCGTACGTACGTACGTATATAAGGTGAAAATAAAGCTTACTACTGAAGTGTAACAGATCTCTCACTTACTCTCTTACTCACTCACTCACACTCTCTCTCTCTCTCTCTTACATACAGACACACACACATCTTATATACTATAGTGTGCATTTTTATATGATATCTTAGCAAGCTTGTCTCGCTAGATCAATTTCGACTGTGTAGTGTTAGATCCTCCCTACTTTTGGCCTTGTGCCTAACCTAAGCTGAGCTTATAGAAAAAACACCTAGGGCACTTCACCGTGGTGTAATGGTTTAGAAAGCCACGTCCTCGCCGCTACTTATATATATATATATATATATATATATATATATATATATATATATATATATATATAAATTTTATAAAATTATATTAGGATCTTAAAACGACATGTAATATCTTAAAATAAATAATATTGCTGTACTTTGTATTAATCCCTCTTTTAAATTAAATGTTACGAACATTCGAATTGTACACTATTCATTCTCTCCTTACCTGGAAATATATGTATATTGTGTATGTTTAGGCAGCAATTTTTCATTGATGCATATTTCATTAGATAATATAGAACAGTTTTGCCTATTTATTTTAAGTAAGTTTCTTTCATATTGTCTGATACGTTTAATAACATTATCATTGTAAGACGAAAGGAAATTACCATATTGATACATGTTTAAGTCCAATCTAAGCTTTCTGCAATTACATTTAAATATATCAGCCAATACACGGACGAAATCATAATGATAGTCTGTTTTTGTCACATAAAAAATTTCAAAGCAACGAGAAACTCGTGTATACGAGACGCGGAAGCGAAAATTACGTCGCAGCTCGTGACGTCACAAATGACCACGCGAGAGTGAAAACGAGAAGTATTAAGCCGAAATCTTAGATTGAATTTAAACATGTATCAATATGGTGATTTCCTTTCGTCTTTCAATGATAATGTTATTAAGCTTATCCTGACAATATGAAAGGACCTTACTTAAAATAGACTAAACTTTTCTATATTATTTAATGAATCATGCACCAATGAAAAATTGCTGCCTAAATATACACAATATATATATATATATATATATATATATATATATTTTTTATTCCGAGTACTTTCGACATTAGCACAATGTTATCTTGAGAGTCTTGTTTTTCTAAGACAAAAAAATAAGTAGACGAAACATGTCTAAATTATTTAATGAGATATGTCTTAATGAAAACATGCTGCCCAAATATACGAAATATATATATATATATATATATATATATATATATATATATATATATATATATTATCATCCACAGACATATTGTTCCACTATATCACAGCTCTTCAGTGTGGCTAAACGACCGTTTGCTTCAAACCAGGATCGAAACCCGCCCGATCTGGCATCAGTCAGAGATCCTATCCCTAGGCCTTTTGTGTGTGTGTGTATTTGTGTGTGTGTGTGACGAAAATAAAGCTTGCTGCTTAAGTGTAACATTTACACACAGATCTCTCTCTCTCTCTCTCTCTCTCTCTCTCTCTCTCTCTCAGCCCCTCACGCGTACACATATATAAATTCTCTTAGGCTAGACAATGTTTTCATTATAATGTTGGCATTAATCAACTGAAGTTTGTAATATTTTCCGGATATATTTATATTACTCTGATAAATGTACTTCGGAAACTTTATTTTATTATATCTGTTTTTGTTCGCAATATTTACAATAACCTGTTTGGTGGTGCGAAATATTAATTAATATCAATTTCATTCTATATTATTTGCATTTGATTCAACTCTAGAGTTATTCATCCCGTTGAAAATAAATACATATGTAATAGTGTAATTATTAATTTCTATTTCTTTTAATTACATATACCTATGTAAAGATTTCGTTTGATCTTAAGTAGGATATAACCCCAAAAGCGAGACAAAAATCTTAAAGTTATTGAATGATTTGAACACATTGTTGTTGAATACAATGAGGTTGAATAGAGATCAAAGTATAAAAAAAAACGTAGTGAAAACTTATGTAAAATAATAACTGCTAAAACAGAAGTTGAAATGTGAGAGAAAGAGATATATTAAAATAATTTTCCATAATGAATAGGAAAATTAAATTGACTAGAAAGAAGAATTTTGACGGGCTAAATGTTGCGAATGTTGGCTTAGAGAATTAGACATAGAATCTTAATAACGTTGGCTAAAAACAGGAAAGCAACCAAACTACTTCCTTTAATTAAATATCACAGAGAGAAACATGTTAGTTTAGGCGAAGCCGTATATGAAAACCTGAGTTCTAAACTGTATTTTTAATGATGAATATAGAGCTACATTAGATGCATCTGGTTGGTAGTCTAAATTTTGAGTCCTTCCCGGAAACATTCAACCAGTAAGACTCAAAAGACAACAGTAGAAAGATGGAATAATGTTCTGCGCTAATATTATAGGAAACAAATGTATAGATCACTTGATATTTAACGGATAATAATATAAATAATGCAAGTAAACATAATACCTTATCTCAGAGATATAGAGGCCGAAATGTTGTGAATATGGCAATGAAGATGAGGATAACAGTCCGAATAATGTAAATAATGCAAGTAATCATAATACCTAATCTCAGAGATATAGAGGCCCAAACGTTTTCAATATGGCAATGAAGATGAGGATAACAGGATAACGTAAATAATGCAAGAGATCACTTGATATTTAACGGAGACATGATAGATACAAAGAGTTAGTATAAGTAGCCATCTTTTGGCATATTCACGACGTTTCGCCCGTTGTATGCTCCGGCCTTCGAGAACAATCTAGAACTAGAACAATCTACTTCGGTGGACGAAATAAAGAGTTCGGTTCAAAAATCCAAATCACCTGAAGAAGGATGGAGAGCACAACGGTCGAAACGTTGTGAATATGACAATGAAGATGAGGATAACAGTCCGAATAATGTAAATAATACAAGAAATCACTTGATATTTAACGGCGACGTGATAGATGAAAAAAAGTTAGTATAAGTAGCCATCGTTTGACATATTCACGACGTTTCGGTCTTTTTACGCTCCGGCCTTCTTCAGGTGATTGGAATTTCGAACTGAACCCTTTATTTCGCTCACCGGGGTAGATCGCTCTAGTTCCATATGCCATGCCTCTTCCGGATGTCTCAGTTTTTTCCCTTTAACTCAAATCTCCAAGCTTTTGTTCACCACTGACGTAGCCAGATATTGAACTCACAACTCTTTGGCTCAAGTCACTGGATTCAACCGACGCTTTTATGCACTTTTAATTACATATATATATATATATATATATATGTAAAGTCTTCCTTTGGTCTTAAGTATGATACAACCCCAAAAGAGAGACAAAAATTCCTTGAGGACATCAGTGTATGGATTTTTGGGACTTATAACCTTAATGTCTGGATATTCTTATTTTTTTTATTTTTTTTAGCAGAGCTCATATTGCATTTTTATTCTTATTGTTATTATTGCTTTTCTCTAGCACTCCTTATTGTATACATTTCTATGTTTGACCAGCTTAGGAGAGTTTTGTGGCCTAGCATATGTCAGATTCCTTAAGTTTTTGTATAACTGAGACATTCAGAAGGGGCATGTCATGTGGAACTAGAACAATCTACCTCGGTGACTTGACCCAAAGAACTGTGAGTTCAATACATAGCTACTGCAATGGTGAACAAAAACTTAGAGAGTTCAGTTAAAGGAAGATAACTGAGACATCCGGAAGAGGCATGGAACGTGGAACTAGAACAATCTACTCCAAAGAAACGAAATAAAGGATTCTCCAATCACCTGAAGAAGACCGGCGCGTACAACGGCCGAAACGTCGTGAATGTGGCAAAAGAGATTAAATAGGGTAATTATTTACCCTATTGACATTCTTCGGACTGTTGTCCTCATCTTTTCCAGATATTAATTGATTTTGATATCTACTATTTTTATTTGCATATTAGGCTGTTTCTTTCGCCAGCAACCATACATTCTGTCATTGTAAAAATGGTCTTAGTATTTTCTTGTCGTTTTTATGCCAAAGACAAAACGTCGACTTGCATAAAAAAAATTGACATTATACATACGAAATACTAAAAAAGAAAATGTTGTAAAAGAAAGGAAGTTGTGGAGACCCATAATCGTTCGGTAGAGATATGGCACATATAAAAAGAAAAATACATCAGATAAACAATCTCAGATAATGTGAACTACGCGCGTGAACCAAATAGAGTATGGATATTAGCGCTATCCTTTTTGAGCAGCATCTTTTCTATAGTCTTTGTATATGTACCCAAGATGCTGACTAAATTACACAATCTTTGGGGTAGCAACGGGTAAATACCTAGCTATCTACATAGATAGAGAGAAAGAGGGAGAGAACGATAGATAGATAGATAGATAGATAGATAGATAGATAGATAGATAGATAGATAGATAGATAGATTAACTGTTAGTTTCATGCTCTAATACGATTTACGGGCGAGAAGAAGGTCGCAGTTAGATATGAAATTGACAGTATTCATACAGCGTTGATTCCTATGTCCTTATTGTCTACATCTACAAAGATCTTATCACCGATAGGGTTCATTCTTCCCCTATACATACAGCAAATTTTAAACAATATATATATATGTGTGTGTGTGTGTGTGTGTGTGTGTGTGTGTGTGTGTGTGTGTGTGTGTGTGTGTGTGTAGATATAGATGTAGAAATGATTTAAATAAAGAAATACAATCAACCATATATATGAACTATTACGTACACATACTGATGAGCAAATGGCTATTTATTTAATCAATGGTGTAGTCAAAACAGTGCTCAATGTAGTTAAACAGAGCTATAGTCAACGTTGTACTTGTACTGTATACGTAGGTATATGTGTAATTTTTAATACACACATATACATGTGTGTGTGTGCCTGTGTGCGTGTATATGTGTGAAAATATGCCAATATAAATGCATCAAAATATGCCCAAGTGGTAACGTCGTACAACTCAAATAATATATATATATATATATATATATATATATATATATATATAAACACACACACACACACACACACACACATATATATATATATATATATATATATATATATATATATATATATATATATATATATATATAATGTAGTAAAAGGTTTGTAACTTAGCTGATTGATGTTACCTTAGCATCCCGCCTTTGGATAGAAATTACTCGTCAGGTGTTATCATATATATATATATATATATATATATATATATATATATATATATAGTTTTAAAGTATGCTATATTATGGGATAAAGTGCTCAATATCAAAGATAGAGCGTATTTAAAAGGGAAGTTGAAATCAGCACGACAGACTGTTTTATGCTAGAAGACGTTTGGTTCAGACCAGCTTGAAATAGGTTATATTCATGTTGAAGTAATTTTGTTTTTACTGTAATATATATATATATATATATATATATATATATTGTTGTGTATCCCGGATGAAATCCGGTCTTAAATTAATGTCAAACGCAGAAATGAAATATAGCAAATAAATGTATTGAAGTAATAATACAATTGGTAATACGGTTAGTAGATCCAGAAATGCGGTTAGTAGCAATAATAATATATATATATACAGTCTGGGAAATTCAGTATCAAGTAGGACTTCCTTCTGAGTCTACGTGCTCGCAACTGTGACTCCTACAAAGCAGTTACCTCACTCTCTCACTGTATCACTTCTCACCGTATCACTGTTACTCTTACTCTCCCAGGTATTCACCGGCAACAGTACAAGTACACACTGGGCGAGTCCACTTGTATGAAAAAGGGGTGGACCCTTCAACATATATATAAGTGAACATTGAAGTCAGAGACGACAGACTGTTTCATGCTAGATGCACGACATATATATATATATATATATATATATATATATATATATATATATATATATATATATATATATATATATATATATATATATATATATATATATATATATATATATATATAAAAAAACTTAAGCAATTAATATATTTTGAAAGTTATTTCCTATCCTTTTTCTTTTATGTGTTACGTTCTTTCAGAACATGGCCGACCATGACTCTCTTAAACTTCCTGTCACTTGTAGCCCAAGCAATTTTTCCTCCTTTGCCTAAGACTAATTTGTGCCAACTAATCACACAAAACATTTCCTTGTCCAAGGAATTTCAGCTCTGACTTCTTCATACCGAGTATAAGGCTTACATTCAAGGAATTCTCAGTATCCTGTAGAACCACATTTTCGTTGCCTGCTCCTTTGGGAGATTGTACATACAATACTCTTTATTAAACCCGTGTACCCACTATATGTAACGTTTATAATATATATATATAAATTATATATGTACATATACATATATTGTCATCCACAGACAGAATGTTTCGCTGTATCACAACTCATAAGTGTGGATAGACGTCCAGTTGCCTCTAGGTAAGATCGAAACCCGACTGAATTTGCATCAGTCGGGGATTCTACCACTAAGCCGTTGGCGCACGGCGGGGATGAAGGTGAATTTAAGCCTATTTATTTTTAGATAAACATACAGTGACT